GTAAAACGAACTAGTGTGTGTTTTTATTACCCGACTGGGAATATTTTGAATTTAAAACAACAGGATTTTTTTTCAATATCATTTCAGTGACCCTTTAATTTTTTTTAATAATTATGCATAAATTATCTGATCAAATGTGGGATGTATGTTAAATATATTGAAGTAATTGTAGGAAAATCAAATGTGATTGTGACGAGTTCTCTTCATCACTTTCACCCGTTATCCCTGAATCTGAGACTTAAACCCTTTAACAGTTAGGTGCTCAAAGTGAAGCCCTTTTCCCTCTACATTCTCAAAATAGTCTCTATCAGAAGTGTTTTGCTTGTGTTGGGTCCGACTTGGCCCGGGCGGTCAAAATCAACTTTAAACACACAGACGTATCTTCAAATGTGTTTACATCTATAGATTAGTGTTATATCTACCTATATACCACTTTATAATGTCACAGTACATCGTATTTAAGGAAAACAAGGGGCTCAAAGTAAAGCATTTTTACTGTATTTTCTTAAGAAAATCTATGTCAGAAGTGTTTGTCTTGTGTTGGGTCCGACTTGGCCCGGGCTGTCAAAAGCAACTTTAAACACACAGATCTATCTTCAAATGTATTTACATCCATAGATTAGTGTTATATCTACCTATGTACCACTTTATAATGTCACAGTTTATCGCATTTAAAGAAAACCATGAGTTCAAAGTGAAGCCCTTTTTCCTCTACATTCTCAACATGACTAGTATTATATCTACCTATATAACACTTAATAATGTTGCACGATAACTCAAAGAAAACTGGTCTGTTAAAGTCGAGCACTTTCACTGTATCTTCTCAAGAAAATTTCACCAAATGTGTTGGAGTGAAGTATACTCTTTAAAGTGAAGCCCTTTTTTCATGGTATGTGTCTGGTCGGAAAATCCCTTGCTTTTACCTAATCCAACATGGTTTTTTTTCAAGGATCATACTCACAGGGTAACACTTGGAGAAGGTAAGGTGAGACACTTTGCATTTCAGGATAAACTTCTCCCTCAACCCTGCTCAATGCTTCTATTATCTATGAGTGTGTTTAGGAAAACAGGATTATCTGAGACAGTTGTAATCTGCCATACCTCGAGAATACGTGCTGCATCTCCGAGCAGCTCGTTCTGTGAAAACACACTTCTCCTGAACCTGACTTGGACCACTCAGTATTATTGTCGTGGTGGTTAAAATACGCCATAAATTAAAGTTCTCTATATATCTAGCAACTTTTTTTATATAAGCAACCCCTAAAGCCCCCTCTTGGTTTGCACACACCACTTTCGCACCTTTCGGAAACACATTAAATGGCCTGGCCGGGCCCGTGTGCGAAATACGCATCAGTCGGAAAGCGCACATTAAATCTCCAAAGTAAGTAAGTAAGTAAGTAAGCAACTTTGTTTTACAGTCGTAATGTTTAAGATTATTAACCAACCGGGACAAGTCGATCCGACAGGTTGAATGATACGCAGGATGCAAAAGGAGGTAAGCGCAAGTACGGTACAGAAACTGAAGTAAGTTGGGCTCTCTTAGTTTTCTGTATGCTTACATCATACTGGATTTAATTTAGTTTCTTATTCTAATACTGCTAATCTTTGTCAGTGGCCAGTGAAAGTATCACAAGGGAAAATTCCAATATATACAAAATATACAATTTGTATATATGGTATATCCAAAAATATACAATTTTGTATATATATGGTATATCCAAAAATATACAATTTTGTATATATGGATATATTTTATCACTGCTTTACTCAGTTCCTTTTTACTGGATTCTCACAATATGTGGTTGATATTGAAAATATTAATAATAATACCGGACAGTATTATTGCATGTGACAAATATACTTTAAAACTATGTTCATTATGACCACTATATTTGGAGTGTTATGAAATAATTGGCATTTATTCATGTTGACAGCATTTTACATACTAAAAAAATAGAAGATTTCAGCAGACTTTTGTTACTGTTAGATATATAATACGTCCGCCTACTGTTTACAAATAAGATGATCTATACATACAAGTAGTTCAGAGTAGTTTTAAACAGTGACGGTAAAATACATTTATCGTGAATAGCGGCAAATATGAATATATACAATTTAATATTTATGTTTCTGTTATGTCATGGTATGTTGATTCTGAATCTAAAATATTGCTTGATATTGTTTGCCAAACAGTTGTATGCACTGTCCATCGTGATACTTCTACTTAAGTATATAAAAAAGGATGTTTGTTTAGACATGCGTTCATTGTAAACAACGCCGTGTTTTCGTTTGCTGGTTAGCTTTTACAGGTCAAAAGCAAAATTAATCGCATTACTTTCGTGACGCATTTTAGGCCTGTCATACAGTTCCTGAAACAAATATATCCAATACAGCCGATGCAAGTCAATCATATTTGGAAAGACTAGATAACAGCACTTATATATTTTATCAATATAATCAAACAATTGTTTTTATTTTTGTAAAATATGTTCATTTCAGAAACTAGATGTTAGTCTAGCCAGCGGTCTAAACTCGCATTAATTTGGTTACACGTTTCATGATTTACAGTATTCGTGAAGAATATGTAACAATTAGCCACAATTAGAGCCTTTGGTAGGAGTAGAGGGAATGATAAGCATAGACTTGCTAAGTATTTTATGATATTCATGATAGCTCAAAAGAAACTTTGATTTATGTTTGTAGTACACCCCAAAAAGAGGGATAACACAAGTGATATATTAAGATGACATACAACTTATACATACTTACGTGTATAAACTACTATTAAACAGTGAGGATAACAGGTGTTTGCATAGCGGTGAGCGTATCCTGGAACAAACACACGCAAAGGCAAGTTAGATGTTAAACCCGATTAGCACAAGTCAAAACAGAATTTCATCGGACATAACTCCATTTGCTACTTCTGTGGTAGTCACCAATCAACCCATTTATACTTCCAAAAATAGCTTTAACCCTTTTAAAGCTTTTGAGAAATTCAACAGTATGGGTTTGGTCTGACAAAGCAAGAAGCACAAATGGGGCATGTTTCGGCCAATGATTAGAGTATTCTTGCAAGTCTAAGGGTTCAACAGGAGTTATTTCTTGCGACATGCTATTTCAAAACCCAAAATTCAGAGGGATATATATGAAAAGAAAAATTGAAATAATACAAATATAAATTCCTTCCAGGTGAAGGCTATCACTTGAAATCAAATTAACAAAGCAGATTTTAGTCAATGACACATCTCTTGGGGTAGAAGTTCATCTCTGTCACCATGCTATGGTATTTCTGGAAAGGAAAGTTAACTTACAAAGTTGTAATATACGTGAAAGGCTTAATGTTGCTGATTAAGCGCAAAGATATAAAATCTAACTGACTGCTCAGTAACATTCATGTAATATTAGTAATATTCAAATAAGTGTACTTGTTCTAGGTGTGTGTGACGTGGATACATATATCTAAGCGTATAGAAGAAACGTCAACAAACTTGTAACTATGTATAAAATAATAAATAAGCCATGTCCTTCATATGTAACTGATCTTATACCACCAGCTGTGTCACAGAAGGTCAGTTATAATCTCAGAAACCGCCATGATTTTGTAGTTCCATTTGCACGGAAATCTACGTTTAAAAGGTCTTATATTATAGATAATCTATCATCAGGAATCAGGGATAGTCCGTCAATATCTTATTTTAAAGCTGTCGCATCTGAGCAGCCTACATCACCACCTTATGCACTATAATTGCGGTGAGAGATCTACAAACATATTATATTGCACACTAGATTGAGACACAATTGTAGCATACTAAATTCCAACCTGTTTCGTGTTAATTATCTAATACTATTTCCTGTAAATGCGGAGCTCCTTGTGAAAATTCATTCCATTTATGATGATATTAGGGAGACATTACTGACAGCTATCGATAATCTTGGAGGACAAAAAACTCTAAATAGTATTTTTTTTTTGTGATCCAAACTTAGATGTTTTCCTGAATACAAAAATATTCTTGTCTGTACACAAATTTATAGAAACGACTAACAGATTCAGTAGCTAGCATATTATTGTTTCCAAACTGTTAATCATTAATATTGTTAACTCTATATACAACACTAACATGTATAATATTAGCATATGTATGAGATTTCCAGCACATTGTACATATCCTTCATATGAGCACTGTATATAAATTTATATTGCGCACTATGTTTCCACAATGTGATGCTTCAACTGTAAATTGTTAATTTTCATTATGCAATATTATGTATAACTGTATATAGGGAGAATGTGGTAATAAATGCTGCACTTGTGCCCAATCCCTTTGTCTTTTGGACAATACAATATGTTTAATAATAATAATAATAATAAGCAACCAATGTATAATGATCAGGGTCCATTGGTATCCCTTCAGCAAGTGCGAATCAGGTCCTAACACATCTGTTTTGTCATGTATCACGCGCTATACAGTCGAACCTCGCTTATCCGGACAATTGCATTTTCTAAAATGTTGTCCGGATAAACGAGTTTCTGGATATCTGAATACCTTGTTATCTGACCAGAAGTCCTTCCCCTACCTCAATTCTACCGAGGCCTATGTGAAATGAATAGCAAAAATATTATTTATGGAGGATCGACCAATTACTAATAAAATACATTGTGCTGTACAGACCTACGCAGCATGCTGTGACAGCGCACTGCATTATTGAAACGGTTAAAGAAATGCATATGTAGCCTAGTTTAGACTATGCACTTGTTTTATGTACAGATACGACGGCGATGTTGGGGCAACCTGACACCTATGAGCATTAATAGCCATGTTTACCTCTATTAGTTGAGAGCAAAGGTTGAAGTCATTCATGTGTGAAAAATGTTGTCGAGGCATCTGTAAACGGCTAAAGAAATGCAAATGTAGCCTAGTTTAGACTATGCACTTGCTTTGTGTACAGATGTGACGGCGAGGTTAGGGCAACCTGACACACATGAGCATTAATAGCCATGTTTACCTGTACTTGTACTTGACTGCCAAAAATGCTGTCGAGGCATCTGTACATCTTCTTTGTCGAATTGCATTATTAAAGTACATCAAGATGAGACATCATATACATTCATATATATTTGTTGAGCACGAAACCTTGAAGTGTAGCCAGGACATTTCCAAGAAACTATGGGCGGCCATGTAGCTTCAATATCTTATAAATTATATCACTGAACATAGGTCAAGGTGTATTCAGTAAACAAAGATCTGAAGGGCTGTATTTCCTTCATCGAACACACTATGCGTTCATCACAGGTTGTGACGGATTACGGATACGAACGAACTAGTACTTGTTTGGCAGGTAGGTTTTGTTAAGATTTGTTATCTTGTTCTCTCTCTACCCTCTACTTCCTTAATCACAATTTAAATCCTAAAAAGTCTTTCGGGCCTAACACTGTGGCAAATTTAGACCCTGTCAAAGCTGTCTGACATGTTTCTTATGAACAGTTTATGAAGCTAAACAGATTCAGATTCAGATTCTTTATTACAGTATAAAGGCCAAAGGCCCATAATACATGCTTGATTTTATTAACATGTACTGCGCTTACGCTAATATAAAAGCAGATGTACAATGTCAATCATATGCAAGGAAGTTGGTACATGTTTCAAATGTTGACAATACATTGTAGTTGTTTGACATTAAGACATTGTTTCAATGAACTATAAACAAAATGATAAATATCACTCATCATTTAAGAGTGCAGTTCTGTGTTGATAAACTTTCTGTAAATACTGACAAGTATCATGAATAACATAATTATCCGATGACCTAATACTTTTGCAAGAAAGTGTGGTACATGTTGTTTAACATCATAAATAGTGTGTTTGAATGAACTATAAATATCACACATCCTTTAAAAGTGCAGTTCTGTGTTTATAAACTTTATGTAAATACTGACAAATATCATGAATAACATTATAGTTACCTGATGACCTAATACTTTTACAAGAACGTGTGGTACATGTTATTGCCAACAGTTGTTTAACATTGAACATTTTGTTTAAATGAACTATAAATATCACTCTTCCTTTAAGAGTGCAATTGTGTGTTTGTAAACTTTTTGTAAATACTGGCAAGTATCATGAATAACATTATAATTATCTGATGACATAATACTTATAAACGCCTGTAATGAGGCTGATCTTAAGTGCTTAACAATGTACGTACTTCTTAAGGTATCATACTGTTTACACACAAGTAATACATGATGTTCATCTTCAATAGATGAAATACCTTCCTTGAGACAAAAAGGGCACAATCGCATTAAGTATTCAATATTATTATAACGTCCGGTTTCTGTTGCAAGTCCATAATTACCACATCTAAATCTTGACATGGCTGTCCTGATAGATAAAGGTAGATTATAGGATAGATACAATTCAACATTGAGTAATGACTTAAACTGCCTATAATAATATGTCTTTGAAGAACTACCTAGTTCTGCAACCCATTTTTGATGGAGATTATCAAACAATCTCTGCTTGAATGTTGAAATAAATGTATCAATATGACCCACATCCTGTGCAACCCAAACAAATCCAAATCCAAATTGAAACAGAATATGTTTTATATGTGTGACCCAATTTACTCTTCCACTCTCATCCTGTGATAACATCATGCTATAACATTGAAATGGTAACCTATTGTCATTTAAATTAATAAGTTTAGTCCAATATTTAACTGCTCTTGTCATATAAATATACTGGAGAGGAATTCTTCCACATTCCCCTAGAACCATATTATTTGTAGTACTTTTACCAACTTTAAGTATCCATTTACATAACTTTATCTGTACACTTTCAACTCTCCTACAGTAATTCACACCCCATATCTCTGCACCATAACAAAGAATGAGTACAACTGTAGCATCAAATATTTTAAACAAATCTTTACATGATAAATTACCAAATTTCCTGGAATATGTATAAATAGCCAATAAAGCCTTTTGTGCTTGGGCGGTAAGTGAAAGATGTGCCTTACTCCAAACAAGTTTGGGCATAAAAACCAGACCCAGATATCTGTATGACGATACAACATCAATCTGTTTTCCCATAAAATACCACTTCTCATATGCACGCAAAGGGCCTCCATTATGAAAAACCATTATCTTTGTTTTATTCAAATTAACTTTCATACGCGTTACATCACAAAAGTGTTCCAAGGCATATATCTTTTTTTGTAACTGTAAACACGAATCTGCCATAGATGACACATCGTCAGCAAACATCAAAACAAACATCTCTTTAAAGGAAGGTGAAACATAGACACCCCTGCCACCAGTTTCTTGCATGAAGTACATTAACTTGTTTATAAAGATAATAAAAAACTGTGGGCTCCTTGCACCTAAAATAATTTGATAAACCACCAGAGAGTCTTACACAAGCACTTAAATTTGAATACATTGAAACTATTATCTTAAAAAATTTGCCACTAACTCCTTCTTCATTTAAGCTTTTTAACAAAACGTCATGTTTAATCGAATCAAAAGCCTTTGAAAAGTCTATAAAAAAACAATAAAATCTTCCATTTTTCCTATGGGCATATTTTTGGGCAATAGATTGCAAACAGAAAATACTATCAATAGTGGAGCGATTAGCTCTGAAGTCAATCTTGCTTCAGTAATGACATTATGTTCGTCACACCAAAGCTGCAGTCTGGAGTTAATTGTAGAGCAAAAAACTTTACAAATAATATCTATCAAGGAGATTCCACGATAATTATCAATACAGTGTTTATCTCCTGACTTAAATAAAGGACATATTATACTTTTTCCCCATTCTTTAGGGAATTCACCATTATCAAATTTGTTGTCAAACAATAAGACCAACACAGGTAGAATATAATCTGATGATGCTTTCAGAAATTCAGCAGCAAGGCCATCAGGATCAGGGGATTTATTTAATCCCAACTTTTCAATATGAAACAAAACTTCCTTCATAGTAATAGGGCCATTTAAGTTAAATGTAGACGCCTCTTCTACCTCCGTATTACATATGTTACAATCAAAACCCTCAGTGGATATGTTATCTATACACAGAAGGTTACTAAAATGCTGTACCCAATCATAGCTACTAATTTGCTGTGAAATGCTTTCACCATAAGCACCCTGTTTAGCCTTCTCCAAAAGAATTTAGCATTGTTTCTACAGTCAATTAAATTTTGTCTCATATCATTCTGGTAAACATATCTCTTAAATCTAAATTTAGATTTAAACAAGTTGCGCAACTTTCTAAATTCACTAAAGTCATAACCCTGGTCTCTATGGGCCCGAAGAGCATGATACTTTCTATTTTTTAAATCTTCTAAATCGCTATCCCACCATGGAGGTTGATTACGTATTCTTATAGGTCATCCCTTAAATATTCTTTTAAACTGTTCTGCTGAGGACTGATATATCTTGACAATAGAGTCTAAAGCTACTTCTGCATCATTGGTAATCTGATGACCCAAAACATCATAAACATCTAATAGGTTTGATATAAAGTTCTCCATAAATACTTGACATTCATTGCCATTCCATATATATCTTGGCCACTCACTGACAACATTATGACCCTTATCAGTATCAGAAAAAACCTCACTTACACAACCTTCATGTTCATTATTAATATCATCCAAGGAAATTCTTAACGAGCAGTACAATGGAAAATTATTTGATGCATCACTCAAAGCTATACCAGAATCTGACACATTAGAAAAGATAGCTGTTGATGACATCATGTAGTCGACAACACTCTGGCCATTATGTGTAAAACATGTGAAATTACCACATTTGTCATTAAACAATCTGCCATTGAATAGATGTATACCAAATGTACATGTTTCGACCAATGTTTTACCATAGTTATTATGAGAAGTATCTTTATTAGATCTAGGCATACAAAAATCGTTAGTTGGGTATCCATCAATGCTATCACCATTACTAGTTACAAAATTAATATTATCATCTGGAATGTAGTCCTGAAAATCCTTTGTTCTGGCATTAAAATCGCCAGCGATATATATTTCTTTATCACTATGGTCACTTACAATAGTTTCCAAATACTGTTCAAACACAACCATGCCATCATCTTTGTTGTGATATATAGGGGGATTTTCCAGAGAAATGTATAGGTATATCATAACCGTATCAGAGTTCCATGAAAGTTTAGTTGTTTCAAAAAGGAAAACAACCATGTCATGAAAACCATCATAAATTCTAGATATATAGTTATGTAAAATCCAGTATTCCTTTATAAGAACAGTCACCCCACCACTAGGTCGGCCACGACGTTTAGTTTTCCGGAGTACACTGTTAAAAGATCGAAAACCGGACATGAAGGTTGCGAAATCTTCAGGACTTGTAGCACAAGATTTACCCAATGCTATTATATCGTAGTCGTGACAGAAGAGTTTTACCTGTGAATGTTCATTATCGTGTTTCCTTAATCCTTCAATGTTCCATGAAAGAATACGAAAGAATACGAATAAGAATACGAAACAATGTCCAGGTGACTTAAGCACAAAAATACGCGAACACTTCTGACATAGAATTTCTTAAGAAAGTACTGTAAAAATGCTTCACTTTGAGCACCTTGTTTTCTTTAAATACGATGTACCGTGACATAATAAAGTGGTATTTACCAATCTAAACATATGAATCCATTTGATGATACATCTGTGAGGTTTAAGTTGATTTTGACCGCCCGGGCCAAGTCGGACCCAACACAAGACAAACACTTCTGATAGAGAGTATGTTGAGAATGTAGAGGGAAAAGGGCTTCACTTTGAGCCCCTTGTTTTCTTTAAGTACAGCGATCTGAGACACTATAAAGTGGTATTAAGGTAGATATAATACTAATCTAAAGATGTGAATCAATTTGATGATACATCTGTGAGGTTTAAGTTGATTTTGACAGCCCGGGCCAAGTCGGACCGAACACTTCTGACATAGATTTTCTAAAGAAAATACAGTAAAAATGCTTCACTTTGAGCACCTTGTTTTCTTTAAGTACAGTGATCTGATACACTATAAAGTGGTATTTAGGTAGATATTATACTAGTTTATAGATGTGAATCCATTTGATGATACTTATGTGAGTTTAAAGTTGATTTTGACAGCCCGGGCCAAGTCGGACCGAACACCTGTGTGACTGTTGAGAGTATAGGGAGAAGAGGTCTACTTTAACCAACGTGTCTGCTTTAAATACGACGATCAGTGACATTATAAAGTGGTATTTACTTATATATAGAACGTTCCTATAAATATAAACACTATGCTCACAGATGGAAATTTGTATCACGATAGCTAGAAGTATTTG